TCCCAAAACAAGGACGACTGATCTACTGCAGACAGGCCCATGATCAGGATGGCGTAATAATTATGCATCCGCCCTTCCTCTGCTCCAGTTCTTGTTCTCTTTAAGCCTGTAGATCATGTCCGCACTCCAAAGATGGCTGAAGATGGACTGAAGTGCCACGCAATAAACCTTCTTTCTCTGCCCTTCACCATGTCTATTTATGTGGCATGTTTATTCCACATGTGGCCACACCTGACATGTGGAATCCCAGGAGTTTGGGCCAGGACCTAAAATTTCTGTTTCAATGCCAGATGGTGAAAATAAGGACTTGACTTGGGTTCTTCCTCTATTAGAAAGGTCGTGTTCCTCCTACTCTGTCATGCAGTTAGAGAGTTCTCTAAACATTGCAGAAAGTCTTAACATAACTCTGAACAGATTGTTTTTCAAGAACATAAAAACTGGACCTGAGACAAACCTTCCTAGTACAATGTACGGAGATGCCTCACTTCATGGTTTATTGAAAAGAAATGGAGAATTTGAGAGTATACCTAGCAAACCAATTCGCCTGTCATTTTGGGAAGAGTTACCTTTTCTCTCTGTCACCTTCTACAAGTGGCTAGCCATTGTCTTACATGGTCCCTGAGTTAACTAGTTGCATGACGAAATGAGGACGCATTCTATTCCAGTCCTTGAAAATCCTTCCCACAAGTTTACTGAGCTGAACACTTCATTTACCAATGCTCTGTAGAAAGAGGAGTCTGCATAGGCCACTATAATAGGCTTCTTAATGGGTACAACAAAGAAGGAAGTAGTGATACCAAATGCCAGCCCCACATTCCACCCTAGCCATAACCTCCAGCTAATGGCCCGAATGAGCTGGCCACTCGTGGGGGTGTGGATAGAGCAGCAATGCAGTTGAGTCATCTGTTTGGGGTCGTGGCTCTGCTCTGCACCATGTGCACACTTGCTCAAAGGTGACAGTGAGGGCTTGAGTCACAGCCTAGTGAGCCATTACAGCCAAAGTCATGTAGGATGTTGATCACACCCTGGGGCCAGGGCTGACTCCTTGCAGGTCCACCCCACCTCCAAAGCAAGGGCAACTTGGTCTCACACTCATCAAAGCTATTGTGATGCACAGGGAACTTCCTTCTCAACAAGTCATATACTACCAAGTCCTACTCCACACAGGTGATGATGGTAGAGGAGGTGGTGGTCAAAAAGCTCATCTGCTTTATCTTTTTTTTTTTTTTTTTTAAATTTGTTTTGGAGATGGTCTCACTCACAAGCCTGGGCAGGCCTTGAACTCATGATCCTCTTTAACTCAAGGTCTCATGCTCGCTAGCCAGGTGCTCTACCATTTAAGCCATACCCCTAGCCCATTGCCCGCTTCATCTTGCTTTGTAAAACCAACTGCCAAACTATTTTGGGGTCAGGTCAAAGTGACCAGTTCAAGATTCTTATTTTTGTTTTCCTTTCCTTATTGTTCAATATGAGGTACTCACAAGTAGAAATTTGAAGAAATTCTCTTCAGAAACATTTTTTAGAGAATAAAAAAAATTGGGTCTGGTGGTGTGGCTCAAGCAGTAGAGTGGCTGCCTAGCTAGCAGGAGGCCCTGAGTTCAAAACTCAGTACCACCAAAAGAAAAGAGAGAGAATTAACACATAATAATTGTACATATTTATGGATGACATTTCAATACACGTGTGACATTTCAATACATGCACATAACATGTCCTAACCAATTAGGACAACTGGCATGCCCATCACCTCAAACATTTATGATTTTTTTGTGTTGGGAACATTCTGTTACATGCCTGTGTATGGGCTGGTGTCGAGGGTCCTTTGCCTTCACAAGGCCAGAGAACTGGCTCTTGAGGCAGCTGATTGACTTGTGAGACAAGGCTGATGCACAAGGTAGGATTTATTAGAGAGAAAGGAAAGGCTGCAGCTGGAGCAGTGCAGTAGAGCCCAGAAACTGGTGGCTCCCTGCTGAGGTGAAGATTGGGGCTTTTTATGGACGCTTTAACTCTGGGTTAGGTGGGTTCTTTCCATTGGCTGTGGATTTCTGTACACAGGCTCTCTTTGATGAGCTGATCTGTTTGCCCCTTATCAGGGAGAACAACCTTGAGAAGCATTCTGTTTATCAGCCCCCTGGCAGATTTATGAGACCCTGTATCTCCTCCTTAGGGTGCAGGGCTCATCGTGCTCTCCATGGGGTGGGATACTGACTCACTCATCTGTCCTTTAGGTCCCCAGACCCAACAATTCAAAATCCTATCTTACAATTTTGAAATGTACAATAAATTGTTGCCAGCCATAGTTATTCCCTATGGTGCTGCAGAACATAAGAAGTTTTTCTTGCTATCCATCCTCTTTCCATTCCCCCCTCATCCCAGCCTCTGGTAATCACTATACCACAAACACCTTGAGTATCTCCTAACCATGTCTTCAGAGGCACATAGAACCCTTTTAAGGATCAAGACACACATTAAGGAGCAGTTCCAAGCCAGTGTTTTTCAAACGAGGTATTTATTTTGGGGATACACAAACTTTTTTCTAGAAATTTATATTTTTTTCACTTTGATGAAAATCTTTTTAAAAACTGTATATTCTGCATCATCAGAATGAACCATTTCATTTGTGCTTAGGATCTCTTTGGGGGCATAGCAGCACTATTTTGATCATTGCCAGGCAATGGTACATAAATAGTGACAGGCTTAATGCTATTTGCTCCAGTAATATGCAGCAAAATGACACTAACTGTGTGCTACACAAGCAGGTTTGATTTAAAAAAAGAAATGGCTACATGGCCTCATTGCAGAGCATGTGATACACAAGCCATGCTGAACTCAGACGAACTTGTCTGCTGGCCAGATTTCTTCTGCCAGTGGACATTTAATTTCAACGAAATGATATTATTTTGAACATTCAATTAAAATTTTTGCTTTAATTTTATTATTTTGAAGTTTGACTATAATTATAAATTAGGTTTAGTTTTGTAAGAGCTGCAAATGGAAGATTATTTTAAGTTTTAAATGTACACAAGCAATATTATAACAAAAGTAATTTGCAACACTGGGAGGTGCCAAACAAGTTTTCCTTTTCCTTTAAAGGGGAGCCAACATAGTTCAAGTTTGAGAAACATTCTACTTACAAATGTGATCACAGAAGATGGTCCTTCTTTCTCTCCTAGGTAAAGGGTTTGTTCTGGGGTTCTTAACCCTGACTTCACTTCAGAATCAACTGAGAACCTTAAAAAAAATACCACCCTAAGTGAATACAATACAGTACGTGTGTGAAAATATCACAATGAAACCTATTAAAAACAATACCCACCTTACGAAGGTGGGGAAACATATCACTCAAGTAGTAACCAAAGGAGAGCAGCAGTAGCTATGCTATGAGAACCAAATATCAGAGCCAAAATTGTGTCTAGAGACAATGAAGCTTTATAGTGGTAAAAGGGTCTATCAAGAAAACTAAAGATAACAGGCATATACGCATCTATCAATAATCCCAAGATACATAAAAACAAAAGTGATGGAATTGAAGAGAGAAATAGACAATTCAATAATAGTATTAGAGATGTCAGTATCACATTTTCAATCAACAAGGAAATTGAAGACTTGAATAAAACTATAAACCAAGAAAACTTTGCAGACCTCTATAGAATGCTCCACCCCATAATGGCAGACTACATGTTCTTCTCCAGCACACATGGAACAATCTCCAGGATACACCATATGTCTGGCCATGCAAAAAAGCCTTAGTTAATTTAAAATGACTAAATTGTTAAAGACGTCCTCTGGTTAAAATGGAATAAAATTAGAGCTAAGTAAAAGAAGGAAATACTGAAGTCAAAAATGTGGAAAATAAAACAAGTCTTAAATAATGAATGAGTCAAAGAAATAACCAGGAAAATTCAGAAGGACTTCTGAGATGAATGACAATAAAAAATACAATGTACCAAACTTATGGGATGCAATGAAAGCAGTACTTATAGGACAATTTATATTTTGGATTCTTAGATAAAGGAAGAAGCAAGATCTCAAATCAATAACCTGAACTTTAAGAAACAAGAGGTAGGTTTTTGGGGTAAGATGGCAGATTAGAAGTTTCCTCTGTGACTCTGTGAATGAGAAAAGTCAGGGTAACAAAGGACAGATTATATCCTGAAAAGAAAAAGACGAAGAGCATCCAGAGTCACAAAAGAGGTGACAGGATAGTTGAAAAGCACAGAGAAACAGAAAGGTTATATAGAGAAAAGTAGGAAACAGTTCAGAGCTCCAACCCCAGGTCCCCAGAGAAGGGAAACCAAAGCCAGAAACAAGGCAAGTCAGGCAGCCCTGGTGACAACAGATTGGCAGTCCTAACCCCTGGATAAGCCCACAGTTCTTGCAAGTCTTAAATCCATGTGGGGGTTGGTGTGACAGTGACTTCTCTTGTGTAGTAGGCCAGCATTGGAGAAGAAACAGGACACCATCTGGAGAAGGGGCCTATTGTTTGAGACTGAACTATTCTGGGCCTAAACACAAGGAACAATAGCAAGTCAAGGAGTCTAGTACTGCCAAAATAAACAAACAAACAACCCCCCACCACCAAGATAAAACAAATCAAAATCCCTCAGATAAACAAATGAATGATGCTTTAGTATAAGTGTACCCCAAATATTGTGTGGGATATACACTAAAAAAATTGTTATCTGAAATTGCAAATGCAGCACAGAGATAATATCTATGTTTACGTGCAAAAGTAATTTAGAAGATTTCAAAGTAGGAATGATATACTTTCATATTAAAAATTCAGGATCATCTCTGTAAGTAAAATCCTAGTGTATTCAAAGCATCATATAACAAAAATATTTTTAGTGCAAGTGTACCTCACACAGTATTTGGAATATCTTTTTTGAGGGGTGGGACTGGGGTATGAATTCAGAGCTTCACTCTTGCAAAGCAGGTGCTCTACCACTTTAGCCACACCTGCAGTCCATTTTGCTCTGATTATTTTGGACATGGGAGGTCTCATGAACTATTTCCCTGGGCTGGCCTTGAACCAATATCCTCCTGATCTCCTTCCAAGTAGCTAGGATTGCAGGCCTGAGCTACTGGCACCCAGCTTACTTGGGATATCCAAACTTAACGGGGTGCTCTGTATTCTTATTTGCTACATCTGACAACTTTAAATGATACTTGCTGCCTGCTCCATGTTTCGTCATGACACAGCCATTTAATAACCTGTATCTTAAATACTCAAACAGGGTGCATTGTTTCCCTCTAGTGGTGAATCCAGAAAACGTGTGCATCTTTGACACTCCACCCAGTTCCAATTTAACACAGTTACCAAAGAAAAAAGAAAAAAAGGTTTGCTTTCATGGAGCTTCCCATGTGGTGGGAGACTGCTAGAGAACAGAATGAAATGCTCTTCCTGGGAGCAAGCAGATCCAGATGGGCAGAGATGCCTCCTCCATGTGGATGAGGTGGAGGTCTCTTAGGAAGATTTTGGAGAGGCTGATGTACCTTTCTACCGCAAGTTCACAATCATCTCTTTGTATAAGGAAATTTCTAGAGTATTAAAAGCATCACACAACTTGGAAAGACAGTAGAGTCAAATATACAAGGCACCAATATTGGGAAACGACTTTCTACTGGAAACATAAGAAAACCTATTTTTCTTCTTATTCAATTTCCTCAACTCTTTCCATCTACGATGGATCCATAAAAATTTGGTGTTGGTGTGGGGTGGTGTCATTGAGTCACTTAATTTTAAGCAGCTACAGAGTGATGTCATTTTTCAATTTCTTTCCTTCTCCCAACTGTTGGCCGAATATCTTGTTACCTCTTCTGCAGTATGTCCTGTTAGCAAGCAAGCTCCAAGGGGAGGGGACAGATCACAGAATGGGCAGGAGACTTGCATAAAGACTTGAAAGACAACAGTTTCTCATTTCTTGCCTTTGTTTCCCTCAGGCGAAGGAAAAGATATTTCTATTTTTCCATCAACACCACAAGCAAGCACATGTAGTTATGTTGCCCTTAAAACCTGTGATCTGTGATCACCCTAATCCTAAGAAAAAAAGGCTCTAAGAAAAAGCTGGATGTGGCTGGGCATGGTGGCACATACCTCGTCCCAGCACTTGGCAGGCTGAGGCAGGAAGATCATGAATTTGAGAACAGCCTGACCTACGCAATGAGACCCTATCTCAAAAAAAAAAAAGAAAAAGAAAAAACTGGATGCCACTGAAATTTGTCACTATTATTTCTTGGGCATCAGAGATGAATGTATTTCCTTCTCTGATCATTATGAAATGAAATTGAGGAAGCTTACTGAAAACATGAGTATAGAAGTTTCTAGCTTGAATACAAATTGTGTTCAACTACTGTGTAAACTGTATCCAGAGAGCAGAAGGTATATAGCTACAAGAGAGAGCCACTTCAGAATGCATGACAGTAGGAAGATTTGTAAGTTCCAGACAACAAGGAGTATGCAAGCCATTGCAAACTCTCATGTAACAACCACGTGCTCCAGCAATGTCTTCCATTCAGGGTCTGAAGAAGGAAAAAGCCAACAAGACATTTCTGCAAGGTGTGTGGGATGGGAGCAGCACTGCACCCTTCTTTTGAAATGCACCTTTGAAAGGCATCAGTGGGAACACCTTTGGGACATAAAAATGTATTAAGTTCAAGTACCTTTTCACCCCAAAATAGAAAACCAGAACACTTTTGGTTGCAGTATTATGTAAAATTGTTTACAATAGAATTTAACACATAAATACAAATAAACGAGATACAAATTTGTTGCATTGTAACACTGAAAATATGGTTATGTCCTCCTATAACCTAATGAAACATACACTGTCAGAAACACTCACTAGGTCTAAATTTTAGATCTCATTCATTAGATACTTTCTGAGCACCTTCTATGTGCAAAGCACTGCACGGTTGTAAGTGCTGGGGGTTCAGTGCTGAATAAGACTCCCTGCTCACAGAACTGCTCCAGTGGTGGAAGAGACAACAACATAAGGAAGTCAGTCACAGAAATAGAAATCTCGAGGCTGTTTCAAACATCACAGTCTCTTTTGGGGAAAGATACATATATATACATGCATACACACATACAATTTTTTGTTTTTGAGATGGGTTCTTGCTACATTGCTCAGGCTGGTCCCAAACTCCTGGGCTCAAGTGAGCCTCTCGCCTCAGCCTCAGAAGTAGCTGGGACCACAGATGCACACCACGTGGACAGTATCTCTAAACTGACTTTTTTACAGGTTGCGAATTTTTAGTGAGACACTTAAAGTTTGTAGTTCTGAACTGCATCTCTAATTTTAAAATCCATATTAAGCTCCTTATAGCCATTCTAATGGAATAAGGCTCACATGACATGTATGAGAATGTGTGGGTACACACACATATATGCATGTTTACTGGTCACGTCACTATTTAGGTACACAAACACACGTATTATGTAGAATGCTGTTCACATAACTTCTCAGGTCGCATTTGTCCTCTATGAGAACTATTAATGCTATAATTTCTAGGCCGTCTGTTGGTGCCCCAAATGCATGGCATTTCTAAGTAAAAACTACTGTCCAGGAAAAATACTTGTCACCATGCAGCTGAGCAGCACATCTTGACGAGGCACCATGTAGAACATTACAGAGGTGGGTGAAGAGTGAAACCCCTCTCCTTTTTTCTGCTGCTGCCCTGCTGCTTGTTGACTGAAAACCAGGTCTCTAAGCTCGAGGACACGTGCTTCCCACTCTTAAGGACCTAACAATTTCACTGGTATCTCTTAATGTCTGAGTTTTCTCCACATCCTACAAAAGTGCTTTTTAAAGCTGTCCATCTGAAAGGGCTTTTAGGGCCAGACGTGCTGTGCAGGATCATCAAAGTGTCATAGGGTGCAAGGCAATGGTGGTGGGGGCCAGGTGGAAGCTGTGCTTTGAGCCACATGCCTCTAGTCAAAGATGAACACTTGAGTGCGTTGGGGTCACTGAAGGGATTCTGCAGCAGAGAGACAGGCTTGGAAGAGATTACTGAGCTCATTCCAGTTATTCCTGCTAGAACAACCCAGGAATCTGGGTGGAAGGGCCAGGAACAGAAGGCGCACCTGCGACTTGTGTGTGTGCAGGGGTGCGAGTGTCGCCGCACTCCCCGCCTTTCCTTCTTCCAGGACAAATGCCACCTTCCCAGATGTGACTATGAGGAAGACTGCCTTAGTGGTGTCTGCTCCCCAGCACGCCCTTGTGATCTCATGTTTTCTCTCCCACTGGTCCTGTTAACAACTGAAGTGAGAGTGTGCCCTAGGGGCCACAGGATTTCTATAGCCTTCCTGCCTGCAGAGGACACTGTGGAGAACCCAATGGTAAGAAATTGAAAAACAAGCTACAGTATCTTTGGAAAGTCTCATGTAACTTTAAAAATCAGGTTTTTCTGCCTCACTGCATTTTTTACTGTCACCTTTCACATAAGATAATTCGCATTTTTTAAGTAGATGGAGGCTAAGAGGTCCCTGAATACTGCTACACATGGACAGAAGTTGGCCTGGTATTAAAAGTGACACAGATAAAGCCATAAAAACAAATGGAGTGGGTTAATGATTAAAAATTGATTGTATACACTATTTTTACTTTTTCACCAAATTCACTTGCTTCTTTCCTACTGAATGATTCTATTTCTTACTTTGTCTTTTCTGTCACTGACATTTTGTCTCAGTCCCAAGACTACTTGTGTATATTGTGTGTAATCAGGAACACATTCTGAGATCTGAAAATATAATGATGGCTTCTGTAATTAGTCACCTATTTCTCTGTGGCTTCGTGGTTCCAAATTCGAATCAGAGCTATCTTTTTAATAAGTTATGAATCAGGAAGTCTTAATGTATAGTAAAAGATTACCTGGTTTGGATTCTAAACTATGTTAAGGACAGCTGACTGTCCTGTAGAAGCCAGTGTTTCCAGGATAAATGACGAGAATCCCCTGAATGCTTCTTAAGGTTCATTTTTCTGCCTTCTGTAGGTATTCTCTAGGGAAGCTACTTTTCAGAAAACCACGTGATAAGCAGCCAGACTTTTCTAAATAAATTGCCCAAGGGTGTGAGTCAAGTGTTAAAAGACCAAATGCTCCAAATATCTCCTGAAAAAAAGTGAACTGTAACACTGAGAATGGAGGACAGATGACCTGTGTAGGAACCAGCAACTGGGGGACAGTGCACAACTACACTGTGACAGCACAGGAGTGCACAGGCTGTCATTAGGAAGATGGTGGCCACCTTCTTCAATGAACTCACTTCATCCAAGACAGGCTGCATGACAAGAATGCAGAACACTTTTCCCCAAGGTCTGTCGTTTCAGTTTTCAGTAGTTAAGTGCTTGTCTGTGTTTTAAGGACCTATGATCTGAGATGTTTTTTCATTCCCAAGAGGCAAATCTCCTCTCGGTAGTTCCCAAGGGAGTGTAAACTCCCCACGTCAGGGCAGCTGGTGTCACTCAGAGTCCGTCTCCTTTCGCAGAAGTTCTTCGTTTGTTCTGCTCTCCATGTTTTCATCTTCAATTGAGTAGTTTCCTGAGTCTTGACTAGTCTGTGAGTTGTACTTTTTGTGATCTCCTTCACTTTGACTCATTTCTTCTACTATGACAATCACGTCTGTGTTTTCAATTACAAAACAGCTTTCAGTTTGTTCCTCCGAAGTCAAAAGAAGAAGATTCTTTAATGGTGGTTCAGAGAAATACTAATTTAAGAAAGAGAAGGAACAGAGATGAAAACTTAAAATAATAAAATTACTTTTCTAGTTCTAATAGCTTTAGTTTCTTATGAACATCATTTAGAAAACCTCTCTCTTTTAGCATTCATATTAAAAATCCAGCTAAGAACATAGCAACTGTATTTAAGGTTCACAAAATCATCACTAAGTTCACGTATCTTGAACCCTTTTTGGAACGTCTACGAAGAACACTGAAGAAAAGTGCAGCGAGCTACCAGGGCTGAGTGTGGAACCTCCTGGAAAAGGCTGAAAGAAGAGGGCACTGGGATCACGGACATTTTATTTTGAAATAGCACAAAATGTTGCATCCAATCCGCAGACACCCAGAAGAAGCACAGGTGAGCTACTGATGTTTCCTGTTTGACTAGCTGCTGTAACCATCTAATTTTGGCTATTTAAAATAACAGCTGTGAGTACATAAGAGTACATAGGAATGATATTTTAACTCTGAAGTGTAAGAGCAAAATAGTTAATATTCACTGAATGTTCTGAGAGTGTTGTTTTGTATGGCTTAGCCACTTTGTTGCTTAAAACTCTGTGGGGTGATACTGCAGGCTCCATGGATACCCACCCACCTGTCTTCACTGATTTGTTCATTGGCACATAGCCAGCATGTGACAACATACTGCAGTTCATCAACAACCCACCTGTAGGTCTTCCTAACTACAAAGCCTCAGCTCTCGACTCCACTGCTTGTTGCAGGAACCCTGAGTGCTGCTCTGTGTCAACAGAACATCCCCCAGGCCCAGACTGCAGGTAGGCTTTCCTCATTCAGTGCCTGCATTTAAGATGCTTATCTTCATAGGAGTGTTGAGCAGAGCACTGACATGCCATAAAAGGAAACTAATGGTTTCACCTTCTGTGACTTCATCCATGGGATATACTTTCTAAGCCAAAAGAATGATTTAGTCTTTCTGATATATCATGAAGAAGCCTAAAGACTTTTTAAAATTACTTTTTTGTAGTACTGGAAGTTGAATTCGGGGCCTTTACCACTTGAGCCACACTTCCAGTCTACAAAGATTTTAAATGGTAAAAGAAATGCCACAGTAGCCAAATTGCCAGATAAATAGGAGACAAGAAACAAATCTTGCTGCTCCATGCTATGTCATTAAATTAAATGAGTGTTCATAAAGTTAATTTACCAAAACTTTCTGGAAATGCTCATGTCAGTCTGTGTCAGGAAAATGTATACATTCTGTTGAAATCAAACTATTTTCTGCTCATTTCTTAGCTATTGACAAAGAAAGGTAACATACCTCATCAATATTTGAAAAAGGTTTAAGTGATGGAAAGAATGTATAATTGAAACATCTCAGGAGACTTTTCACAGCATAAATAATAATTAGGATAAAAACCAACACAGCAAAAATTCCAGCTATAATCCAGATTGTGGAAGAATTTCCTAGAAACACATAAATGATATTAAGCATCAATACAGGTATTGACACACAAATATATTAATATGAAACTAGCCATATTAAAGTAAATATAGTCTATAAATAACACCCTTAAAATATTTCTGGTAGCACTGAGTACACAACTATGGGCAATAACATTTGCATTTAAAGATTTTTCTGAGAACTGAGCCAAGAGACCCTCAGGGATGAATGCAATATTGACATATAGACCCCAGCAGGCAGGTACTCTTCAGCATTTGTACAACACCCAAATTAGCAACATTTAAAAAATATTCTGATTGAGCCTCTACTGGTCAGTTCTAAAAACTGTAAAATACAAAATGAGACTAACCAATTTGTAAATAAAAAAGAACAACTGAATTATGATTTCCATATGATCACTAGAATACAAACTTTTAAAAACCCAAAAAACTAATAGTCTAACTAAATGCCAGAGAGCAATAATTAAAGGAAATTAATTATGTGGATCCAAGGTGAAAAATAAAGCATCCAAAAAATACCGAATTGAGGATAGTTATGAAGTTTAGTGGTAGAGCACTTGCCTAGCATACCCAAGACCATGGGCTCCATTCCCAGCACTGCAAAAAACCACAAAAAACAAAAAACAAGAACAATTAAAAAAAACCAAAAACTAAAAAAACCAAAAACAGCTGGTGTTGGTGGCTCACACGTGTAATCCTAGGTACTTGGGAGACTGAAATCTGCAGGATCGTGGTTCAGGGCCAGCATGGGCAAACAGTTCATGAGAGCCCATCTCCAAAGTAACAAGAGCAAAATGCACTTCAGTGTGGCTCAAGCACAGAGGCCTGAGTTTAAACTCTAGTCCCATAAAAACAAACAAATTAAACTGAGCTGAATATCAAAAATACTTTATAACTGTAAGACTTTTGATTCCTGTAGTACATGAAAATATTCTACCTTTTGTTGAAGAGGAAAGAAGTTATACTTTTCAATGTATTATTTTTACTGTGTAGTTACATTTTAAAAAGCATAACAGGTATTTCTTACGTGATTCTGTTTTCTTGCACACTGGGTCACTGAATTCACTGCTTTGGTGCCCAGGGGAATCCTTGTGTACTCTGGCTTTGACGCAATATACAGTCCGCAGTTGCAAGTTAACAATAGTAAACTCAGGGCTTTTTTGCATAATTTTTTCCTATAAAAATAATTAAATCATGGATAGAATTTAGTCACCTCATGAAATCAGATAGGGAATATCTAGTCCCTGAATTCTTTTACATTCAACTTAGGATTGGCTTCTCCCAAATACTTAATTGGTGTGCGATTAAGAACTACGAATTTGTTTTGAATAACCATTATAACTAAAAATGCTGCTGCCAGAAAACCATATGGTACAATCCTAAGACAACTCCAATTTAGTTCATTAACTAAGTAAGTTGGTTTGGCTTAACTGCCATTGTATTACCTCTGATTAATGACTGGATGGTTTAGAGTAGGAGTTTTTAGCCTCAAATCTCTTGTTAAAATACCACTCCCACCAGTGTGGCCTGTGCAAGGTTACTTTATTTCTTATTCTGTAAAATCAGGACAATTGCTGATACTACATGTATGAGTCAGCTATTGCCACAACAGTGCTTTGTAACTAACAAAACCACCTCCACATTCATTCTTCTCATGCACAAGTCTATGGATTGGCCGCGGAACTCCCATGGAGGCCTGCTCCACCAGCCTCTCCTCCTCCTTAGTCCATAGACTGTGACGTATGCTTTCCTCCTGGCAAACAGGAAAAGCACAAGAGCCAAGCCAAGCCATGCAGGCACACTGAATGCCTCTGCACATCCACCCAGGCTCCATCATCTGAAGTCCAGCATCAGGAAAGCAAGGATGAACAACAGTTTAATTGAGTATACAGACTGGTAGGGTCATTTTGAAGAACAAGTCAGGAACTTCATGTGAAATACTGAGCATAATGCCTGAAAAACTGTTAGGTGTTCAATAAATGAGTTGCTGATATAATAGTTATTGATATAGCCAGCACAGGATAGTATGGTGAACTAAGACTGATTGATGCTCTACTTGTCAAAGCAATGTACTAGGTATTTTCTCTCACATATGTTACTTCATTTCCAAGTGTATATACCTCCTTTTGAAAACATTAGTTGCTGTCATTACCACTTTAGTGAACAGGAACCAAAATATCAAAGAGGTAAGCACCTTACCTAACCTATGGTTAGTTACATGATTGGTTAGCATGGGACACAAATTCAGGTTTTTCTCATCTCAGGACATCTGGAAACTGATCATGCTTCTATCTATGGGCTAATTATCCTACGGTTACAGTGTGATCAGATAGCTCAAATGCAAGCAGCTAGCCCTTTGGGATTTAATTCTAAATTTCCAACAGAAAATGAGATAAAGTTACAGAATTTATCAACTCAACTGCAAAGATTTTAAAGACTGACTCCTTGACCGCAATTCCAGAAGGAATCACATGGATTATCTGATGTGTTGTATCAGCTCTGTCCATGGTTTTTGAATTTAAGTGTTTAGCCCAGTGTCTCTTAATCCTTTTTTTCTTTACTACCCCCCTGAAGAGCCTTTTTAAGTATTTTTTTTCAAACTCCTTTCCCACTATGAAATTAAATATTAAGGAATATAGCTGAACCTTAGAGGCATGTTCTTCTAAAGGGAGGGCCACAAACCATTGTGCTACCTAAGACTCTCCTGCTCCTATGAACTAAGTTTGTCTCCTTGGAGGTGCCAAAGGGGACATCTGACAATGTCTGGAGAGGTTTTAGTTGTCACAGCTTAGGAGGGTATGCTACTGGATTCTAGAGGGTAGAGCCCAGAGGTGTTGCTAAGATGCCACTGAAGTACAGGACATCTGTGCTCAGATGTCAGTAGAAACCCTGCCGAGATGAGTACCAGAGCCATGTTGGAAAGAGTTCTGATTCATCAGCACTGGCTCAGAATCTGCATTTGAAAAGCAATCTTGGTCCCAGGTGTAGGGCATCCAAACTTCCCATGCCAAACACGGAAAAATGCTGGTATTCTTCATACTGCAGATAATCAGAATTAGTCATACAGTCTTAAAAGTTTAAATGTCTCGTGCTTGTTTCAGCAGCACACATACTAAAGCTGGAACAGAGATTAGCATGGCCCCTGTGCAAGGATGACATGCAAATTCATGAAGTGTACCATATTTTTCTTAAAAAAAGTTTAAATGGCTCCCCAGGTTTTACATTTAAGCCTTATTTACCCAAATCATAGTTATAAAATTATACTACATAGTCTTTTTACCTCAATATTAGAAGTGTTTTCCCAAAAAATAACTTCATAAATTAGTGAATCTTCTAGAAAATCAGAATCTTCTAGAAAACCAACAGAGACACGCAGTGAATCACTAATGGATTTCACAGTGATGACTGGAGAAGGTAAGAGGTCTAGAGAAAATTTGTAAAGACATAATGTGCAATTAAACATAGTGTTCAATTAGGCAACTTAAAACAATTTTAAGAACTTGTGCCAAATCGGAGAATTACAATGTCAAGTAAAAACTTGGCTTACTGTATACTGAAGTATCAACTTCTTTCTCTTCAGACCAAAAAGAGGTGTTATTTCCATTAGATGCTTGTACTCGGAAAAAGTAAGTTCCTTCTGAGAAATTACTTTGAGGAAAGATACAATGCCTACTTTTGACGCTTTCACAGCTGGGTATTAGTTTCCAATCATCTGAATAATTCCCAGGATTCCATTTTGAAAAGTCACTTTTAAGACAAAAAAAACCACCTTTTTTTGATTCGAGCACATTAATTCAGTAACTATGTACTGAGTACTTACAATATAATAAACATTGGGTTAGAGGAAAATGCCAGAGAATTCAGTTTCCTAAACCCTCAGGAAACTCCAGATACAGTGGAGGAGACACACATATCTAACACAAAAGAAAACCAAAGATGGCTGCAGAGCGGGACAGAGGAGTGTGTGCTAGAGGAGTCTAGTACCAGGTAAAACAGCTGGTAAATTTTTATGAATGTGACAACCTGTGTTTTAAACAGCCATTATTAAAAATTTGATTCTAAAACCTTACAAATAAACAATTATATCAAAGATAAAGGTAACAGTCAAAACTCCCCTTGTCCTAATTAGTTTACTCTATGTTTTGGAAGCTCTTTATGTCTTCCACACCTCTGTGGTGAGGGTATTCCCTCCCAGTGTGCTAGTGTGCATGCTTTCCAGGTCCACGTCGGGACACCGTGCTGGGAAGCTTCCAAGTGGGAATATTCCCATCACAGAATCCAGGAAAGATGCCAGATAGGGCTTTTCCCTTCTGTAAAGCCAGTTGCTAAACATGTTCGGGCACACTGCTGCACAAGTGCTGTAAGACGGTTACACGCCACCTCGTTAAAGGGCAAGGCAAAATCAAGCGTGGACATCCACCTGAGGCTAATGAGGCCCAGTAACTGGCTGAGAAACAACGGCTGAAAGTGCCCCAGAAACTGCAACTACAAGAGGTTCTTAACTGGTTTCCTCATGGCTGGTGTCACCTGCGCCCACTGCCCCACATACAGTTCAGCCATATGCACTTCTCATGTCACCTATCCTCCTCAGCATACAATTCCCAACGGTTCCCAAATATCTGTAAGATATGCCAATCTGAGCCTGGTCGCCCATTCTGCTCACTCAACATTTTTCTCATTGCTTCCTCCTGTCCAAATGTCCTGCTGCTCTAAAAGGACACCCTCCCAACCATTACAGGTGACATTGTAGGGCAGCCTCAAGACTCAGCTTTCTGGTGCACACATCCCACACCTCCTATAATCTGTTTCCTATTGAGCATGGGAAGGAAGGACTGATAAAGATGGTGGATGCCTCTCCTCCCTAACTAAGGTTCTGAGTTAATGAATGACACACACCACCCTTGGTGGGCACGACCTCTAAGAGCCCTTTGAAAGAAGCAGGCCATTATGAGCTCTACAACTGTTAAGAAAAGAATGCTGCCAACGACTGTGTGAACTCGTGAGAGGACCCCAATTCTTGGATGAAACCACAGACCTGGCAACACCTGATTGCTTAACAGAGAAGACTCAGCTAAGCCATGCCTGGACCATTACTCTAAGATAAAAATGGCTGTTTGTAGTCTGCTAGGTCTGTAGCAATTTATTACAAAGCAACAGAAAACTAATAACCTCCCACCATCTAATTTTACCTCATTTCATACCCCTAGGTTTTCCTTTCAGCTCAGGCCTTCCCCAGGATGCCCTCTCTGTTCACCTTAAAAACCTGAGCAAAGGAGATCCTACATATCTGGGGCAGAGCTGTTTTCAAGGGTATTAGTTCCAAGTTTGGGTCAAAGTCCACAACTTACAATTAACACATCCTGATTGCACAAATTAAAGTAGCTCATTGTGAATTTCCACACGTGCACACACTGCGCACTGACCAAATCCAACCTTTTTATCTCCCTCACCACACCCCTTGCCAGACCCTAGTAATCATGGTTCTGCTTTCAGGCTCACTCTTTAAAGTTCCACTGATGAGAGAGAACATGCACTTCAGCTATCTCACTTCTGGGTAAGTACCCAAAGGGAATGAGGCCAGCATGAGAGAGAATGGCACAGCCAATACTATTCACAATAGCTAGGATGAATCTGCCTAAGTGCCCGTAACAGATGAACGGATACAGAAAACATGGTATATACACACTGGGCAAGAAGATTGTCTCAGGCAAAGCTATAGGACGTGAGAAATTGCTAGTTAAAGCTATAAAAGTGAGTTCAGGGCCGAGACAAAGGGCACCATGTAGTGATAACCGCCCATTCCCGCTTTCCTTTGTCTCCTTCTGTAAACTTTTCAAAGCAGATCTGCCCTGCTGCTCTTATCTAAACAACCCCAGGACTCTAACCCAGCACTGGCTCACCTATTAACCCTAACACATTACTTGTAACCTGATGCCCTGCACTGCCCTAAGTATCCTGTGAATTCTTTGCTCGGGGCCCAGAATTATGAGTATGAATTCCTCTGGGACCGCCGGTGTAAAATAAAATCTGAGTTCTCCACCTCTCTGAGTGTTGCTTGGTTTCTTGTCTGATATTTCCACATTTCTGGAGGCCCCAGTGAGATATCAACAGTTCTGACCCCCATGAGCCACCGACTGGCACCTGGGCTGCACTGGAGTAGGAAGGGAGTTGGTACCAAATGAGACAGCGTGCCACCCGATGGCATTCTGGGTCTTCCTTTTCCCTGGAGTTCTTGACCCAACTCAGACTCTAAAGAGAAGTGGACCAACTCACCTGGCAGTTTTGTCTGGACTCAGTAAGCCTGCGTCACCCTCCCTCCTCCCCCAGTAAGATCAGACTTCAGTCAGGTCCCATCCCACTGGGTGGAAGGGGAGTTTGATCTGCTCCTGGGAACATCCGAGAGGAGTTTCACAGGTCAGGGACTTCCCCCAAAGCGGGAAAAGATAACTGTTAATAACTTCAGTGTGAATGAGCGGCCTGATTCGTCCTCACTTCAGGCTCGAGTATGTGGCTCCATGGCTGAAAAGCTATGGAGTCCGAGTGGGTCTGTCCACGGTTCCATAGTGATCCTCATATGGCTTAGGGCGGTGTCAGGGAAACTTGATCTAGAGTCACAAGGCTGACCCCACCATAGATGCATCAAAGTTCCTTCGGGACACAGCCAGGCAGACATCTGGTTAGTCTCATCTCTTGAAGGGGCACCCATCCTTGTTTGTCTCTGTGCCACTGACACAGTGGGGAGAATACATAGGGTGGATATGACCTAACTGCCATGGGTGGAAGCTCTTCAAAACTCACAGCCCTAGAGTGTATGCTTGAACATTTTAAGAAGAAATTCTTAGGAAATTATGGGATCAAAATGTCTCCTGGAAGGCTGTACACACTGTGTGAGTTAGAATGGTCCACTTTTGGAGTCAACTGGCCCCCTGAAGGTACCCTAGCGATTTGCCCACTGTCAGAGCCATTTATCAGATCAAAATAGGAAGTCCTGAACACTCCGAAAAGTTCCTCTACATTGACTCCAGGCTTCAGGTGGCTCAGACCATGCCCCCTTGGGTCCAATTCTGCGCCAACAAAAAGGGACAGAACAGAGTTTTTGTGGCCCAGGTAATGAAGCCTAAAGACCAGAAGCTGACCAAGTCTGTTCTGCAAGGGGATCCAGAAGATGAACCACCTGTGTCCCGCCGTACATTTTCAGCATGCCCCCACCTTTCCCAGCTAGTGCCACCTTTCCCAGATAGTCTGCCACCTTCAGTGAGTCCTCTTCAGTCCTGTCAGCAGCCTCTCAGTCCCAGTGATGTCCCACACCTATCCCAGGCTTGGAGTCCGAGTCCACAACCTCTGAGCCACCACCTTCGCTCTTACCAGGCGCCGGCCCCTCAGGCAAAGACCCTTCGAATGCTGTTCCAGGAGATGCAAGGGCCCCAGCAGATTGGTGCTGACAGTATGGTCCAGCCCAGATGCTCTATCCTCTATTACCAGTCTTTCAGTACAACTGACCTCTTAAATTGGAGGAACCATACACCGCCATATTCAGAAAATCCTCAGGCCATGGTCGACCTAGAATCCATTACTTCAGACCCATCAACCCACTTGGGATGACTGTCAACAGATCCTCCTGACATTTTTCAACATGGAAGAGCAACAGTGAATTCTGACAGAAGCTCACCACTGGTTCCAAGGGCAAGTCCCAGCAGGAACCCTAGATGCAGAAGCTTGGGCAAGAGAGGTGGCCCCGAGGCTCAGCCTAAGACTTCAATACAGTAGAAGGACAAGGAGACCTCACTCAGTATTGCGCCACCATCCTACACAGGCTCAGGGCTGGAGCTGAGAGACCTACCAACATGTCCAAAGTTGCAGCAGTTCTCCAGAAGCCAGAGGAAACACCAGCTGGTTTTTATGAGAGACTCTGTAAGGCCTTCCAGTGTACACCCCACTTTGATCCAGAAGCACTAGAAAACCAGCAAATGGTCAATACAGCATTTGTGGCCCAGTCATATGCCGACATTTGCAGGAAACTTCAGAAACTTGAAGGTTTCACTGGAATGAATGCCACCCAGCTGTTAGAAGTGGTGAATAAAGTCTTTGTGAACCAGGACCATAAGGAAAAACAGGCAGCCGATAAACAAATGAAAGCCAAGGTGTCCTTACTGGCTGCAGCACTGGGGAAGCCAGACCCAACTCAGCAGTCAGCTCTACCATGGAAGGGGAGACCCAGTGGAAGAACCCCACTCTGATGAGACCAATGTGCTATTGCAAGGAGATTGGCCACTGGAAGAATGAATGCCCCTGCTGCAAGGGAACAGCATCAGAGCCTAACAAAATTACTCCAGTAAAGAAGACAGGATGCCAACCCAAACCGGAGGCCCAGGACCTCACTGGCCTAGCAGGAATTAAAG